TGATACAAACAGAGATAGACAAGTAGAGGAGGCGTTTTCTTCCCCGCCGATACTTTCTCCAGCTGGCGCCGCTCTCCGTGCCAGGCTTTCGACAATGCGAGAAATGGATGCTTGGATGCGGATGATGTATCTCAAGACCAGCTGTATTCCATTTCTTCGGCAAGATCTCGAAGATGGCGATGGCGATGCGACAATGGAGCATCGGAGTAAAATGTTGTTTGCTGGAGTCGTTGCTTGAAGTCGCATCCAAGCGCCATTGACGGTTCCCTTGGGTGGGGTTTTGGCTGCAGCAACGAATGAGAAACCCCAAGACAAATTTCTAGTAACCTTGAAAGGGATGCTAAGCGATGGGGATCGCAGGCTACGATTGGACTGGTCATCCTTGTTGTCAGCCCAAGCAACCCTTTTGTTCTGTGAAGGAAAATGGCGGCAATCCAAGATCTAGAACTTGAAGAAAATGAGAGATGAAGCCCCCTAGATATTTGCGATTTTGACATTGTTGATGTGTTGACAAATTCCAGCATATGCTTTGGTGATGTTCATTGGCTTATGACTCCCTCAGCAATTCTTCATTAATCACGAATGGTGAAGTTCCGTGTAAATATATTGTGGCCCTGCACCCTGAGAAGTGCCGGGATCTAAATATCTAGTAGCTATTCCTCCACAAATCCGTCATTAGCACAGCATAAATGCCCGGGTTGAAAACTAATCGGTACATAACTACCTAGATACATACTTAGCTATACCGTATGCACTTCAACGTAAGATCCGGCTTATGCATAAGTAGTTTTACATAGGAAAAATCTAGCGGCCAACTAAACACCGGGGATCGGTATCAGCAACGGGAAAAAGGCTTGTTGGTTTTGTATATATTTAGAGACCCGAGGTTTGTTTAGGACATTCAAGCATTATATCGATGGCTATGAGTATATGGGTGTGGAGAATGCAATAAGCTAAGTCCGTGATATCGGGGATACAAAGGTTGCGGTGGCAGAAGAGTATACGAAGAGAAAAGAAATGAGCTTGGTTGAGAGAATTCGAAGGTCATACTAAATGTGCCGCAGACTTTGATGACGCTCGATCAGTCAACAGTTTGGTGACAAGCCAATTGCCCAAGGATGCATCAGAAAAATTATATACTGTTACGTATGCGAACGGCGAAGTGCTAACTACTAAGAATAAATAGTAACCAATACGGGCAACCATCAGGAAAGACGGGAGAAAATTCCGCTCTATTATTATATTTGACAAAATTACCTATCTATTTTTAAACGCGTCATTCTCGCTTCAAATCCCCGCCTCAACCATCATGTCGCATTCGGGAGCTGCCAAAGGAAGAAATGCGTGGCCTGGAATGCCTTGCACAGGCAGTACGAAACATCACAGGGGAAAAAATCGTTGTTCAACTCAACCCTTTTCCCGGCATGAGAAAAAAAAAATTAAAAAATAAAATAAAAAATAAAAATAAAAAATAAAAAAATAACACTTCTTTCGTTTCATTGAAAATGTCCTCTTTCCCTGGACCCACACCTCCCGTACTAATTCGCTGTCTCATATTTTTGATGGCTCAACCCGCGAACTCTATATTCACCGGCTGTCCATTTGCTGACCTCAATTTCCCAACCGCGCAGTCAACGTCGAAGGTGGGTTTTCAACAAAACCAGCCCGAAGAACGTAGCTCAAATAGCCAAATGGATCCCATCTAGACTACCCAAAATAGCAATTGGCAGTCGATGCCAAACTGTGAGGCGAGGGATAATCCCAACGACCCTGCGCTGGAACATGGGTCAAGGTCTGCGAGAATATGCACGACAATATTAGAGCGAAATAAAGAGGAGGGGAAAAAACACCTCAACAACTTTTAGAAATTAGATGAGCAAAGCAAACAAAAAGCAATTGCAGTTGCAAAACATGAATATCTCATTAAAATGAACGCTTTCAGTTTCTGATTCCTCCGTTCAAAATGCATATATCTCATTTCACATCGCTGGCTCGTTACATCCACGAAAATGACTCGAAGACAGAATAGATAAACAAATAGGAAAATAGGCAACAACGGGCGATAGGTTCCCCGACCAGCAGGGAGATGTAGTGTGCATTCCTCGCATCCAAGCGTTTCCTTTTGGTCCATCGATCAATTGCCCCAGATTTTCTATATCTTTTTCTCCTTATCATAACAAAGGAAAATCAAACAAAAGGAGACAAAAGGACAACAAATTAAACTCAACGAACAACGGCAGTCACGTCCCTTAGGAAAACGCCAGGAAACCACGCAAATATGTAAAATTTAGTAAGGACGGTGTCGAAAATCTTTCGTGGCACATAAGAATTCGTAGTCGACCGGTCGACAAACGGTGTTGATGTTCGTAGAATATTGATGAATAGGGCCGTGATAGATTATGCAGTAAATTATCAACCATCCATCAGAAATGAGCTTTCCTCACGTCTGGAACGAGAGGAGATGTGATTGAGAACACAGGGACCGGTAAAAATTGTGAGACGGAGAAAGAAACGACCTGCGTTTCTGGAAAGCTCGTATCGATGATAATAGGGGTAAATATGACATCCGCAGGAGACCGCAGAAGAGATGGGCTCAATAATGGAGTTAGACGAAGGCCAGTAGAGGTGATAACACACAGTGCAAATCAGTCTAACGAGGCTTCAAGTCGGAAAAGCACACTAATTAATATCCACCAGTTAGTGTAATGACTCCCAAGATATTTTTTGCGGTCAACATCTCATCCCCGCACTGCACCGCCTCTGATATCACTTGCTCGAGCATGGAAGAGCTACGCAGTAGCCAGACTTTATGGAGATGCACCCTTGCCGCTTGAGTACCCGGAATCCGGCCACTTCGCTGCTGATGTCCCTCTCGATGCTAAATGAGCTGCGCACGCATAACCAACAAGGATCGTCTTCTCCTGCACGACATGGTCACGCTGGCCATACGACTGGCACGGGTCAACCGCATGGCGATAGTAGAGGCAGCGACAGACGGAGTATCTCTCAATAATTCGGTAGCACATTATTGCTATTAAAATATCTTTCCCCTTTTTTTGTCGCTATAGAGCCGAAATACGTGGGGGTGTGGTGATGTATAACGGGGGAAGGCTAAGCAAAAGTCTTAGAATTATGAGGCACAGCTTTAATAATTTGAACTTTCAAGCTTCGGGAGCAGTTTCCAAGGACACAATTAGAAGAAGTAATAGAGGGTTATCTTGGTTGCTTCCAATGTGGCGCAGCTAGGGGTATTTATATCAGTTCATGTCTATTGGAAATGGAAAGGACTCGGAAGTGAGGAATAGGATGAAAAAAGAGAAATCTGTAGGGAAAAATTGAAGATATTAAAATGGTTAGATAGTATACTATCTCAATGAATGGAATGCATATAAAGAAAAATTGGACAGAAGGAAAATAGAGCTTGAAGAGGAGAGAAACAGCGTCATATATACCTATCGATGCAAAAGACACTCAAGGCAGCTACCAGCGGAGCGGAGACCTGAGGCATACGAAGAGAAGCATGGGATAAGCAATGCAGGTGAATTCCAGGCAACGTAAGAAACATCTGGATCGTCTCCAGGACATGGATGTGCCGATCGCTCCTCTGCAGCACTATGACCCCGCTTGAGGGAGCGAAAAGATTACCATACATACTTGAGCAGGAAGAAGTTGATTAAACCTCCGAAGATCCCCTCCAACAGGAGTGGGTGAACGTTCCGCAGAGCGGTGGAACATTTGCGCAGCCAAAAAAGCACAGGGCGCGGATATACCCGAAAATAGTTCTGTGCCCTCTAGGCCCAGCTTGGTCATGTCTGTCGAACCAGCGAAACGTTGATAACAGGAGTGTCCGAGAGTTCCGAGAGGTCCGGGTGGGTTGGATGATGAGTTACAGCCGCCAAATCCTCAGCCAGGGCTTTCGCGACCAAAATTTATCACCCATCCTTTGTTAGTTATCTACTATTGCGGAAGTGTGGCTGTTGTGTCCATGTCAACTTGTTCAGTCCTGGCAAGTAGTGTGTGGCTTGCACGAAAACTAACAGGCAGTTGTTTAAGAAGTGGGGAATTATGATACGAAACCGAACAGATAATAACCCGTAATAAATCCTCTGCAATCTGCAGATAATAATAATGTTAACAGTACCAAGAACAATCCATCAGAATGTCGGCTACTTCGTAGCACAAACACTAATAACGAGGCTGATGGATGATGACCAGGACAGGTTCGTTATGAATGCGGCTATTCATGCCTTTCAAATGATGTAAGGAAGACGCTTGCTGGGGGGCCTGGTCTTCTCAGCCTAATTCGTGATCGACACCATCATCCACTGCCCTGGAAATAGTAACGGTGACCTAATGGCCTGCAACAAGTTGAAATCTGACCGATGAACCCATTGAGGCTGCCTTCTGACAGGGTACATGCAACGGTTATTAGCGTAAAGCAAGAATCCCCTATCATACAGGGTTGCAGTTATTCGAGGATTCAGTGTTATGGTTATTAATTATCTTTGCACCTCAAAAGACGTCTGGCCAGACCTTGGTAACATTACCGTGCAATGAGGGCAACCTGCATAGTTACCCTAATGCACGCACGCTGGACTTGTGAGCTGATGGTAAAATCAAGGAGTTCCGCGATGCCAATTTTTCCGCTGTATTCATATCGAATGAAACATGAAACATTTCCACATGTTGAAGAATCTGCTGACCCACGAATGATATAGAAATCATGAGATCCCGCTGTCAGGAGCATACTACTGGCGCGGCCCCGGAGCACCGACCCATTGCAAGTTACAAAGCTGAAAGGTTGGAAGGACGAACTTCACAGAGTAAATATAAGAACCATGTCCATGTGTTACCAATATATGGTTCTGCCCTGAAAATCCCGTGGACTGTTATTGGATAGGGAATGTTAATATTGACATCATTGTGATATCGGATCCAGACATCTGTTCGGAGTAGCGGGGTGAAAATATAAGGCTCTGCCACTGCAACAATATGACAGATTACCCAAGCACCACTTTTCCCTGTCATGGTTAACCAGTTAGTTGACTAGTTAATATACCGTCCAATTTCTCCAATAGCAAAACCGGACAGCAGATTAGCAAACAGGCATCTGCAAAATTCTGTTGAACGTGTCGTAGTCAGGTTCGTATTCCTCACTTTCCGCCGGGAAAATGACAGCGGAATTGTACAGAACATTGTAGTATCGGAATACATATGAAGAGGCAGCACTGGGCGGTGTAAATTGACGGTAGTCGAAATGGAGAATATTGAGCTGAAACGCTCTGTCCGCATGTTCGTTCCGATAGGCTTTTAGATAAAACAGGCGAAGATATAGATAGAAACCTGAGGGCAGCCGCAACATAACTCGCGCGGGTAGCACACTAGAAATTCCAATTAAACGCATCAAAACAAATCAATGTGTGGCAGAACCGGCAGAATCCCTGGCGTTGGATTAACTACTGTGAAGTAACTACTCACAATCTTTTGTGCAGGGTGCTAACCTATTTCGTCTCTTAGTCACTGATATGTGCTTGGCAGGGGACTCGGGGGACCGATTTGTAACCAGCGGGGAACCAAGCAGCAAGAAACAAGTTAAAAGAAGATTGGTTGCGTCTGGGCCTCCAACCAAAGTGGATAAAATTCTGCCTTCCACAACGACAATGAAACTAGGTGCATACGAGGGAGTGCCTTACTTGTCCCACGTAGCAACATAATGTCTAAGTTTTTCGTTGTAATGCGGATTCAAAATATATCAATTAGATTTGGCATTCCCTAGATAAAAACCTCCAAGCCCTAGCATGTGGTGACACAGGATACGTGGTGATGAGTATTATTTTGCGTTAATGCTAAGTTTTGATTTTCGGCATCGGCGGTTAAAACAAGGTTTCGCTGATTGATTGGCTCTTTCTGGCGAGCAGAACCATGGTTTGAATCAGCCCTACGCCTTGGCAGGCCGCACGCTAGCAATAGTTTTTAGTTTTGAGGCGCAACTTGAAAGATAACGTTCATCTGACCACAGCCACACATGGATATATCCCTCACTTGTATTGTATTGTATGAACTAATCATCCTCACTCCATTCACTGTGCATAATTGCGTAGTTACGTTAATGCTTGCTTTTTCTGGCAGCTAATGGCTATAAGGGTCTTGAATGTTCACAGGCTCATAGCGCTTAATCAGCAGTGTTGTGAAAGTCCAGATTACGATTGCTGTCAATCTGTGAGCCTTATGTTCTAAGAACGAGGTCAATGGCATCAGCAGATTAGGCGCTATTGCAATCCCGTACCTTCTCAAAATCATTATGTGTAAAACATCGGCAATTGTTACAGCGGCATTGAGGGGTCGAAAAATAAAATGTGGTCAGTGCTTGAATTACCCTGTAATGCACAAATCTGCCTTGCAAGCCATTGCCACGGGTCCCCATGTTACAAAAGTTTGTCTAGTCCACCTAGATTTACCCAAAGGGATAATACTGACAAGGCACTTGAACTTCCTGGACCAAAGCGTTGGCGCCTCAGGATGCATATTTGATACTGCGACTCGACAGAGGTTTATCTCTCAACCTCCTGATCTGTGTGTCAGCTTACACGTCGATTGACAAATTTACTGATGCGGTTATGAATCATGAAGGAAACTGCCTTGAGTTGATGACTGGGAAGATGAAGATGCGCTACGGATAGGGCTGAGATTTAAAATATCCGGCGAACTGGAGAGCGGATAACGAAAATAGAATGAACATACTGCTCAAGTGAAATTAGCCGGACGGCCACTAAACCAAATTTTAGCTCTTTCCAGCCGAGGAATCAGGCACCATTCACGTTGAACACAATATTATAAGAGCAGGAGGTTCGTAGCACTTCCAATGCGGGGAGGCCAACGATTTGCAAGTCTCTGACAGAATCTTCCATATTCCCGTGCACATCAAGGAGTCCGTCAGAGCCCACTATGCATTTTGCATAATTCGGAAACATTGCTCAGAAGGAGGGTTACCAAGCCAGCTGAATCCTGCACCTCTACGGTCCTCGGGCAAAATCTGCCAATCATCTGGCAAAGATACAAATAACGTGACTCACCACCCTACGCACAACCAAATTTCACCTTCAAGAAGTGGATATTTCTCAACAACGCAATAATATATTCAAACTAAATATTAAATAGAGACGGAATATTCCATAGAAAAATAGTAATTAATTCAAAAAAATAATTGTTGAGCTTAATAGCTTATTCAAAAGGTGAAACTTTAGAGTTTAACATAAATCTGTTAAGGTGCTGGTAACTAATATTCTATATTAGTGAGCACGCTGAAGCTTGTCACCTTCAAATCCTTGTCTTTTGCTCCTGGCGCAGCGGTCAGTGTCCTGGAATGCTCCCCAGGGGTCGTGCCGTGACATGATTTTGAAGTCACCCTGGATTGGGGTTTCGAATTACAAACATACCATGCTGCGACCGCCGGATTTTATATCTGATTGGATTTTGTGTCATGTGGAAAAGTGTGCGAACCAGCTCACCCAGATTCCGTTGAATCCTTGGAGGTTGGCGTTGGTGGGAGATCAAGAAGCAGTTTTCACAGCGGACATTAAGTGTCCTGCAGCAGCGATGGTCCTCAAAACTCCAGGCAACAGGGAGCATCGCCGGCGATTAACACGCAAAGCAGGAGTAAATTCAAGCTGATCAACTGATTCATGGAGGCGTGTAAGTTTAAAAACTTGTATCGCCTCGCGTTGTACAGGGACGAAGTGCAAAATTCAAACTATGTGGAATAAGGTCCTATGGCCAGGGCAAGGAGCGCGTAGATAGCTCTGCCCTCTTTCTGCCTTTTCTTTTCAATAACTGCCGAACAAGGGACAGGTGAGTGCCATGTGAACTGATCACTTTAACTGAGTCGTATAGTTTTTGAAAGAGATTTTTGCCGGAATGGCTAGATTGAGATTGAACAGAATTGATATGACTGTAGATCTAATTTCATGGTTCAGCATTAAGAAGGGAAAACAAAGTTTCAGTGCTACATGTTGAGACACACTAGTTAAGGAAATTATTGAACTTCCTGAACCAAAATCAAGAAGATAGATAAATATATGCACTGTAGATTATGACAGAGTCATACAGTCAATGTCACTCTGTATCCTAGTTTCCCAACAATTTGATATCTGTTGTTGAAAATTTCGCCTATCCAAGCAGGGTAATTCTTCACGACACCAGTCAAGTCAAATCCGGAGCCTGGAAATGTGAGGGGAGATATGAGTTGGTTGAACTTCAATCTCTGAGTTCCATTGAATCGTTGCGGAAAGCGAGGTAGGACAGAACTCAGACGCAGAAAAGGTAAATTTTGGGAGAATTGGACACCGCACGTAAAGTCGATGCGCAAGAGATATTCGAGCTGTCATGTCACCAAACAGGATTCTAACCACCTGACTCTCTTTGAATGATGGAGAGGTTTGTGTGCGTAGTTTGTTGGAGTTCTTCCAGGGACGTTTTCGAAGTTTGAAAACAAGCCACCGCCGCCAAGCCATTTTTAGCTTGCATCTCCAGCCAACTCCATGGTGGAATGAATACACGAACCAATTAATTAACCAATCAAAAAATCGCTGTTATCCTGGAAGAGCTCCCCGGGCGACAATTTTAACTGGACCGATTTTCTTTGACAGAAGTGGGCATTGAGCAGGCAAAAGAAATCGGTTTGGTGCCTGAGCAACTACCTGATAACGTATGGATGAGTTTAAAAACTCGTCGGCACCGCATAGTGCTGGGAAACAATAAAGTCAACTTTCATGCAAGTTGTGACATGATCATTGACATGATGTCAGTGGACTCGTAACACAGGTTTTGGATTTTGAACCTCAAACCCCAAAGCGAATATAATATTGAAATGGATTCATAAATGGCCGCATAGATTACCACAATTTAGGAGTTGGAGGTTGGAGGTTAAAATTCAACCCTGTCATTTTGACAAGGTCTTAGTTATTTTTCTTCTGCTTTGCCTTTGCTTTAAAAACCAACCACCATTTGGAGGGGGGAAAAAATAAAGATAAAATATAAAATAAATAAAATAATAATAAAGCAAAAAATTACTATGGCTAATCTAATCGAAAATGAAAAAGAGACAAGTAAATCTCATTCTTTCTCGACACTTTACTCTCCTAGAACTTTAACAGTGGTCATTATGCCATTTTGCCTAATCTTTTGTTAATGCTTTTAAAGATGCACGTAGCAAGACGTTATACCAGTCTGATCTTCTACATCACGACACTGAGCCAATCCCAACATCTTACACTCAAATTATTTGTCTTGACACTCTGTCACTTCTTACCTGACTCTGGATTAGTCTGAGAAGACTTCGAATCACTTTTTGAATTAGCAGGACCTGCCGGCGGATTTGCAGGAGCTTTGAAGAGCCAGCTTTACAGGCTTGAATTTGTTTTCTTTGTGGAACTTAACAACATATCCCTTGGAATAACCATGTTGGAAATGAGCCAGGCAAAGGGACTGAGTAGTACCATGCACGGAGGCTTCGGGCCTAACAATGACAGAAACTGCTCGTACATAATAGAACAGCATTTCACCCATTTGCAATTGGCTGTCGATTTCGAATGTGGCGTTATCAGACACATAACTTGCGATCAATCTTTGATTAGTTGGTAGCTGCCAACAGCTGGCCAATGGCACCGCAGGGATAAGATGGAACCAATGTCCCACAAGCCCGGGGGGTGGAGAAGGGAGCTGCAAGTTCCCCCGGACGGTTTGGTCTCGCTTGATTGCCAACGCATGACGTTAGAATGCGCGTTGCGATCGAGCATTACTTCGTGCATTAGCATTAAAAGTATCAGATGGACACTCTATGCTGGGGAAAGCAAAATTTCTAATCTTCATTGTCCATAAATCATTACTCACATTAATCAAAATATTAGCCGCCTTCACATCACCCCAGCAATCTCATCTTGATGTAAATGATCTAATTGATCTATTTACTTCCACCGTAAGACAACCATGGAAGGTAATTCGAGGGCGACTCTGCTCTCCATGATAAATCTTGGGTCTCGGGTTTCTGTAACCCTGTTGCTCGATCCATCCAATCATAGTCTAATCGTCGACCTGGGTTTTTGGAACCAAACCACTGTTGATCCTCCTGCGTTAAGAATGACACAACTGCTGCAAGATGACAGCTCATCTGATGACCTGAAAAGAATTGGAGATGCAGGTCTTAGCCGCTGGCAAGCAGTCAGGCGAGCCAAGTAATCTGTAGCAGGTTTGACGAGGCTGCGAAAGGGAGATGTTTTGCTGTAAGAGCTACTCCGAGCAAAGGATGCCGAACCGCGCACTGAATTAAATAACGTTACATGCTCAGCAATTGTACCTTTCAGAATCCTAAACTCAATTCTGAATGATCTTTCTATCTCACACTTTGTTCAGTCATGATTATAGTGTATGAAATAGCGGCATTGAAGCTCTGTAGGGTGAAATTTACTCATGGCAGCCACAGTTGGATCGCAGACATAAGAAAAAAATATATATATCTCCGTTTCGCCAAAATTTGTATATATATATATTTTTTTGTTAGTGCCACTGTAGTTAACTACCTAAGAACCAGCAGGTTGGAACTGGCTGCTCCGTTCCGCTATTTGACTCGTCGAGTTTCGATAACTACGCTACACTCAGGTCCCAGATAGAGGGATACTTGAATATTTTCGTTTATTTTATATCCTTTCTAATATTTTAACTTCCTTTCACAAAGCTGGAGTGATAACTACACAAGCAGTCTGTGCTTTGCGTCCACAGCCTTCCCTCCTCTCTTATCGGTTAGGTGGGACCTTTACTTTTCAAGGTTCATCACATTTTCGTATCCTCCCGTTTTACCTCTCAACTTCGCTTAGACCCTTGCTTCTGTGACATGAAACGGTTTCCATATGACGTTTCTTCTGGTGTCACGACCCAAAACGGAACAGGCGAAAAGCCTCCTCCATTTAAAAGCCCCAAATATTTATTTTTGTGCTCCTACACATCATGCATAGCACTTCACACATATTCAAGTGAGCTTAACGTTCCTCTCAGGGAAACATGAGCTATTTACCCTTCTTTCATGACTCTATTATTGTAGCTCTGACGGTTGACTGGGTAGAATAAATACAGCTGTTTAACACACGTCACAAATAGAAAAGGAAAATATGGGGGGAAAAAAGATCAAGATCAACGCATTTAAAAGGCCAAATTAAAATCTCATTAGCCCTAATCATAAAAGCCGGATAACTGACGGTGGATGAGGGAAGGATGGATTCTCTTCAAGACCCCAGAGCTCCAAAACTCAAACCCTTCGCTATTTGAAGTCTCAAAGTCTTCAAAATATCCTCCCCCTTCACTTCCTTGGGGACCTTGGCTCTCCAGTCCCATCCCCTTTTCACATTTGCTCCCCCTTGTTGCTTCTCATTGGGACGTTCCACAAGGACACCTGAATTCTCAACAGAAGATGGTCCACCGTCTCGTTGACGGCTCTGTGATTCGAGCATCTCATTGCCGATCAGCGAAAAGCCACTAACTGCGGTCAGTGATGAAACTGACTTTTTTAGAAGATTGCGGGGAGGGGCAGCGAAAGATGACGTTAGCGAGGACCGGGCAGATTGGTCACCGAAGGATGTGCCGGCTGGGTCATCGTAGTTGAAGTAGTGATATAGGGTAGATTGGAGGCAACTTTCGCACTGATCGTAAACACGTGATGTGACAGATTGGAGATCTTCGATTGCCGCAAGAATAGTAAATAGCTGATCGGTTGAGAGGAAGCGGTTTGGCTCTAACACATGACAGCGTTAAGACAATGGACTATAACGTTCATAAGATTGCAAAAGAAAATAAGATAAAATAAATAAAAAAGACGGAGCAAAGAAGAGTGAAATTACCATCTACAAATACAAGAGTTTCCCCAAGCAAGACCAACAAACCATCAACTTGAACGGATGTTTTCCTTTCCCCGTCATACAATCCACCGTAGATACTGTCCGCCGCACTGCGAATGACAGAAACCAAGGTTTCAGCGGCAGCCCTCTTCCTGGCTAAAGGACGATGTTTTGGTCGCTCGCCTTTTAGCAGATTGACTTCTTCGTCACGGATGTCATAGAATCGTCTCACAGCTGCGTATCCGCAGAAGTAGAACTGGAGCATTCCGGCTGCCTCTTGGTCGACGGCTGCGATTGCTGATAACGCAGCTTGTGGATTATAAAGAAGTGATCGAAGTTGAGTGTCGAGCTCAGGAGCGGGGGGATAAGCAGTGGATCGGACGAGGCAAAATGAAGTAAGAAGGTCCATAACGTTCTTCACCTTTTTATAACTGTGAGCTCTTGCATAACATATGAGAGCTGTTCCATAGTCTTCAGATGACTCTGTTATTTTATCCCCATATCGCTAGATCTGAGTGTTAGACAGACGACAGAGAAGTTATGATATTCAATTGTAATCTCACCTCAGAAACCTTGCGACCTTCATCATTGAACCCGAGTTCAGAACATAGTAGAACAATCTTATCCATATGTTCAGTCGTATCAAGAGGGATACGGTCAAGAAACCCCGAAACTTTCGCCTTCATGGTCTCCTGATCGTCAAGACGGCTTAATACCTCAAGTGCAATTTCCCATCCATCTCTTACCCCAGTCCCACTCTCAAATAGTTTTCGATCCAGGAGGGCCGTAGCGTAATTGATCAGAAGATCATCTTTGCGGAGTGGCTTCTCGTCCTGCCCGTAGCTTAGGACCATAAGGTCAGTTTCATTGAAACCTGGCATCGGCTTAGAGCCTGCGGAAGTGTCCAGCCATTCACCAAAGCTTGCAACTTCAGCAATGGCGGACGCCATGGGAAGTGACCAAGTTCGCAACATTTTCAGGACTCCATCGATGTTACCTTCAAAGATTGAAACCAAGCCAACTTCCATGGTGTTCATCGAATTGACACGAAACCCTCCCTCTCCCACATTTTCCGTAACGTTGGCAAACGAATAATCTAGCCGCCGCAGGTATGCCTCCACAGTGTTCGAATCGACAGAACGGGGCGCTTGCGACTGAGAGCGTCTCGATATGCTTCGGTTGAGATCGGCTTTTCCAGTGGATATATCGCTATCATCTTCGCCATCCCACCATGCAGTAAGACCAATTGTGGCTTCTACCCAGTCCTGCGATTTACTCAATATAGATTGGACATCCCCAAGCATAATATTGTACATGGTCTTTAGATTTTGATAAATGGTCCAGGGGACTTTGCTCTCCGCCATGCGTGTAGACTGGGTGAAGGGCGCCGCGGTTCGCTGGTTAAATATACCGAAATTTGGCGCTTGGAACTGATCCTGTTTTTCGTGTAGGCGATCTTGACCTTCCGCCAGATCCTCAAGTTCCGAAAGTGCGGAGGCAATCTGTTTTCGGTACATAGCCCAGTTGAAGCTCTTAATATCCCAATCATCGTTTCGAACACCTGGCGAGTTTTTAAGAATCTGTATTGCACCGTTGACGCATTGCTGGATGTGTTGAAGCTGGGCACCCCTATAGCCTGGTTGTTCATGGCCATCTTCCATTGCCGACCTAGCGTAATTAAAATCCGCAACGTTCAGTAATGTAATAACAGGAGGCAAACTTCCTCGCAATATTGAACTTTGAACAGAATCCCAGAATACAGGGGATGCAGAAGGGTTCGGTTGATGGCCAATGACTGCACTCGGGGTAGGTACTTGTGTAATATGGTAACGATTCATCCAGTCAAAGAGAACCTTGGGGATTGGCATTTTAGCCTTAGGTGTTTTGGGTGCAAAAGCACGTACAGCGCCAAGGCGAGTAGAAGGACCATCTTGTCCCGTTTGTTGAAGCGGGGGATGGTGCAGTGGAAGGAGAAGAGACCCCAGAAAATTCGCCTTCACGAGATTTGGAGAAGATTCTTCAGGGCCGATGCTCGCGTTCTGGGTGTTTTGCCTTAGTCCTGGTGGTGATGCCGTGTGTCGTTCCCACAAGTCTAAAAGGTCATTGGAAATCTCACATAGCGTCTGTTGAAGACCATCGTCATCATATTCGAAATCCCGAACCTGGTCGTACATCCGGCCAACTATATCTTCACTGCCGAGAACAAGGTCATCGGGTTCATTAACCATTGCAATCTTCGACCTAGAAACTAGGCCGCTGGCGATTGATGGAAACATTGAACATTTTTTTCTCGGTGATATTTTGGGCTTGATGCTCGGTGGCAACGACGGTTGCGCCCACATTTCATCCAGCTTTGCTCGTTTCGCTACACGGGGATTGGAATAAATTAAGGGCTTATTCGAAGGAAGAGGCTCTTGAGAATTTATAGAAGCATTGAATCGTGAATCTAGGAATCCGGTCTGGCTACCCCCCATGTCATCGTCTTGATCAACGTCAGAGTAAGAGTCAAAACTTCTACTTGCTTCAGTAGAATGTACGTTGCCATCTGACTCTCGAAGCGACCGATTCCCGGTGGATATAAATGCGTTACGGGGAACAAATTGAGTGGGACCTTTAGTTCTTGTCCGGGGTAATGGGAAGTTGGACGAGATGGTTGAGGATGTTAAGAAGTCCTCTGAATCTTGTGAATCCACAGACTGGTCAAATGAAGTGACTCCAAAGCTCAATTTGGCCTTGGTGCTTCCCAGCTTCGAACTCTCGAGGAAGCTTGACGGGGGAGGGCCAGCCGGGGTGGTCGAGGGAGGCGGACCAGCGGGGGTGGTTGACGGGTTCGACGCAACGCTCCGGGCTTTACCGGGAGTTGAAGGGGGAGGGCTCGAACTAAATGGCACATAAAATGCCATGCTGCCAAACCCGTAGTGGTACGCGGCCAGGTGCTGCTGTTCTATTGGACCAAGCAATCAAGATTCGAGACAATTTGAAATTGCTAGAAGGTAAACAATGCTCCTTGCCTCTCCTTTAGCCTACAGTTTGTACGTGCTAGAGGACTGCAAGGCAATTCTCAGGAACCATGGTGTAAGAGCTTAAGTCGGCGTTGATTCCATGTGTATGAAAATGCGACCCATTTTCAAGCTCTTGAACATCCTATGAGTATCGTACGCGCTTCAAATTCAAATGATGGGAAGTGTTTCGCGCTGGTTGCCGGAAAAATAAACCTCCAGGCCGACCTCCAGCCACTCACGTGATTTGGCGGGATTTCAAATTCGACTACAGTGAAAGCTCATTTTCATCTTTTTTGATAACGATGCTACATACTTGCTTGAATATCTCGAATCAGTATTCTATTCTTCTGAGAAACAGCAACATGGATCGTTACCATTTCCCTCAAAATCATGCTCCTTTCGAGGGTGTTCTTTGTATCAGCCCAAGGAGAATACCACGTCCTTAAGCTAGAGAGAGACCATGGAACTCTAGTTGGAGGGAGAAGTGAAGTGAAATGCAGGAAGAGGGTGAGTAAACAATGTGGATGCTATGGAGGATGTTATATGTGAGGCTTTTCCCACTCCCACTTGGACGACGGTGCAACGAGAACAGATTGCCTTCCAAGGTTGAGCATTCTCAGCCTCCTCTGATGTGAATGATGTTCACCCCATCCAAGTCATGCCTTTTAATGACATGGGCTGACAAGTTGGGCATCTGGTTTCTCATCCTTGATCAATCTGTTGTTGAACACCTAGTTCAGCCAATGACTTACCTCCTTAAGTCAAAAGTAATGAATAAGATACTGTAAACGGCCTATTGACCGCATAGCATTCCTTCATTGTGCTGGTCTTTGTTGTGTTTTAAGCTGGCTTGATTTTGAGGTTTGTCCAAAGGAATTACTTAACGGGTCACGATAGATTACAATTTGTTATTTGAAGCTATGTTTATATCTGAGTTTCAGGACTCCAAGTATATATTCGCCACTTGGGTTAACTTTCTGTCCCTTGGCAAAGAAACCAGTGCATGTAAGATTTGATTTTTTGAGCACAAAAGAATTTACAATATTAACACATTAGTTGAATCGAACGGGAATTTCACCCTTTTCTATATATATGCGCTGGATGAATCTAAGGTCGCAAATGACGTTTCGAGTCATAGCTTCGCATCGGTTTCAGGCTTATTCACCAAGACATATCTATACCTTGCTTTCCCAGCATGCATATCGGCCAGTGCGTTATTGACGTCCTCCATGGGCCGTTCTTGGACCCAGGGGAGAACCTTTTTACCAGCTGCCAACTGAAGCATTTGCCGAATCTCTTCTGGCGAGCCAATGGCAGAGCCCCCGATTTTGACCCCTTTATTGATAAGCGGGAACACCTTAAATGCCGGGAACGGCTCTTCCGGAGCCCCAACCTGAATGAACTGCCCATTCACCTTCAGAAGCCTCAAATAGTTTCCAATGGGTATATCAGAAGACGAGACAGTGCTGATAATTAAATCTAGCGATTGCGCATGCGTTTTTGCCCAGCCTTTGTCCTCGTCTGTTGCAATAAACTTGTCCGCTCCCAGTCCCCCCAAAGCTTCATCCTTCTTCGCGCTTGTTCGCGAAATTGCAGTTATCTGGTCACAATCTAGCGCTCTAGCGAACAAAAGGCCTAAGTGGCCCAACCCGCCAATACCGATGACTCCAACTGATTTCCCTGGCCCAGCGCCATTTTTCACCAGTGGTGAATATACCGTTATCCCTGCACATAAAAGGGGTGCAGCAGCAGCGCTAGGTAAGTTATCCGGTATTTTGAACGCAAACCACGCTGGGCCGCGCCAACGGGAAGCATATCCACCGTACGACTTGCTTCCATCGCGGAACCGGCCACCATACGTCCCCGTTTGCTTCTGACAATGGTTTTCCAATCCGAAAGCGCACTCTGGGCAATGCGGGTGGCGGCAGGAGTCTGATTGTGCTCCAATACCGACCCTATCTCCAACCTTCAAATGGCGGGATGGGGATGTGAGGCTAGAGACTCCGGACCCAACACGGGTAATGTGGCCAACAATTTCATGGCCGACGACACAAGGGTAGTCTGTTGGGCCCCACCCAGAGCGGAGAGTGTGAATGTCTGAGCCGCAGATGCCGCAGTGGGTTACCTTTATTTCGATGTCGGTTGGGTCGAAGAGTTTTGGTTGGAAGGTTGTGGAGGTTAAGGGTGACGTCTTAGAGTGGCAGACCCAGCCATGGAATTCTTTTTGCGTGGAGTTTGCCATTTTTCTTCACCAATGGCAATTGGTACAAATGGTACTCGCAGCTCTTATAAGGGGAATCCGTTCTCTGGGGAGGCGGGCCTTCGAGTTTTTCCTCCAATGCCTTTTGTGGGTATCAGTTTGTGCAAAATAAAAAGAGAAATAGAAATGAAGAATGGGAAAAGGAGGGGGGATGGGAGCTGAGACGATTTTGGAATTAATTTTAGTTAAAGCAAAATCAAAATAAAATAAAACAAATCAAAAAGGACCAGAAACAAACATCAATTGGTCTATCATTCGTCAAGACATTTTATATAGCCACGAGCCGAGTGGGGTTTGCTGGTCTGCTGTCGCAGCCGAGGTATTATCCATGGGCATTGATAGTGGCGATCCCGTTCATGTAGATACTGCGCACAAGAATAATACACTCTTAAAGTAACAAGTTATCTCCCTTGCTCTCAAGTATTGACAAATGTGTTAGATAGAAGGGATTCATACATTTACGGTTGTGGATTGATTGTGCAACTCGGTTGTGATATTCCCATCTCTTTCTCAGATCTATGATGCCAATTACACACTACTGTCTTGCAGTTCTGCGCAAGTCATACATATATTGATTAGAGCTATAGTAACTACTCCCCATCTATCCCGCCAGGAGATAGGGGACCACCTTTGGACCTCTCTGCTTCTGGAGGGGTAGAACAGAACTTTAAAGGAAGTAAATCATCTTTAATCATATACGAGCCCACTTGTAGCCCTGAGAAAGACCCACAGCAATGCCCCAAGTATGGTGCACACCCAATAATCGATAGTTGGTAGAACCCTTGTTATCAATTAACATCCGCATTCCCGTATTTTGTATGTGAATTCAGGAGCTTTGACAATACTTTGTCGAAGTGGACTATTAAATTCAGGCCTTGCACTATGAAAACATGCAAATGAGTTTCTACGGCTCAAAATATCACAATTCGGGCTCAGAAATCATGATTTTTTAGGCAACCTTGAAATATAATTAATAATCCTCCAAACTAATGGTTAATGTACAAATCGGAACTCCAGCCTTATGTCTTCGATATATCTATAGCAAACCGTGAACGCTCATATAGCTCAGCGAACGAAAAATAAATGGAAAAGAAAAGAAAAGAAAAGAAAAGAAAAAAAATCAAGAACTAGAGCAAGCTTATGTTTTACTTAGCTCTCCTTCGAAAGCATGATGACACTAAAAGTGTGATTATTGCATCCATTGAACTCGATGAAATCCGAAGCTCTGGTATGAGAATTCCAAATAGCTAGCATATGTGCAGAAAACCGAAAAAATAACGCAGTGAAGAGAGAAAATTAGGTTCAGGGTATACAATAACAATTTACTTTAACATCTCATACAATAGATTTAACCGCTAGCGCTCAGCAAATCTTGCAATTCTCGCGGTGTTAATGTGCTTTTCCGCCGTCTCGGTTTTGCATTAGAGCGTGTTGACGAGTTCCTCCTTTTTCTCCTTTCGTACTCCTTCCGCTCTGCTTCTGCTTCCTTGGCTTCTGATTCAACAGCAGCAAGCTTTTCCGTTGTTGAGATTTTCGACTTGGGTTTTACGGCATGCTGGTTTCAAGTCAGTTTATTGACAGGTCAACTAAAATTTTGGTTTAATATCTACAAACCTTAGGAATCATTGATCCTGCAACTCTCCTGGGTTTGCTCTTAGTATGTTGTGTCGTTTTCAAGTGTGCTGGTAGAGCAAGCTCATTATCGCTACGCTCGGAAGCGTCCTTCAAACTTTGTCTCGACCGTCGAGACGATACATTTCGAGATGCATTTCCAGAACTTTCGCCAAGGACACGATGATATTTGCCATCCTTTTTTGGGCTGTTCTTGCGAACCGGGGTTGATCTCATATTTTCTTGGATATCGCTGTAGTCTGTGTCGCCTCTGACAACATTTTCATCATAGGTTGATGGGCTCAGATTTGGATCATCTAACTCGGGCCCCACAGGCTGGTGTTTGTCAGCTCGAAGCCCGAGGCCCATTCCTTGTTTGAGTTCGTCAATGTTGACCGAAGTTCCTCCTTGAGCTATCCGCTTGTGCCATGAGTCCATCATTGACACGGCCTCCTTCCATCTTTCTTCCATCTTTTCCCATCCATCCCTCAATCTATAAATTTCACTGTCTCGTATTTCAACCTCTTCCAGAGGCACGAATGACGGGTTTGTGAGCAACGACCTAAGATTTTCAAGTACCAAGTTCATTTCGGTCGCGAGCTTTTCATGATGTGGGATAGGCTCTGTTTCTGGTACCTCCTCCGGCCGGCTAGCTGCCCAGTCGTGAGAAGCCAAGGCATTCTTTTCCTGGTCGTCTTTTCCTGATGTATCGGGTAATCCTTGTAGGTTCCGCAGTGTTTGAATTGCGTTCTTCACTATGCCAATGAGTGCGTCATTTTCGTCACTCAGATCTTGGCAGAGCTGGGTCAGAAATTCTGTAGATTCCTGCCTGAGGGTATACCCAGGATTTTCTAGGCCCTCCCCACCATCCATTGCTTTTCGTCCCATATTAGCCTTTGGGGCAGGGGTTATTGTTACTGTTGTTACCCCAAGTCCATCCCGTTTTCCTCTCTGGCGATCTGTGAGATGCGATTTCAGCTTTTGGAGTTCAACATCTCGCTTTCGAATATCCGTTACGCATTGGTTTCTAATCTGCTGAATTGACGATTTCATGCGTTGTATTTTCTCTTTCAATCCTCGACTGGTAATTTCCGCATTGTGGAGGGTCGTTTTGAATGCACGTTCCTGTCCCTCAGCAAGAGCCAAGGAACGGGACAAATCCGTCGTTTTGGCCCGAAGTCTCTCCTAGACGAAAATAGCAATGGCGTCGTCAGTAGTGTTTTGTATTGTGATTGCAATATCAGCCCAATAACGTACAATTTCAAGCGTTTGTTTCGCCTCTGCAGTTCGGAGTGCTCTGATGCTGGTCGCCAAGTTCTCTCTTTGTTCCGCCTCACGCTGGACGCTATCAGCTTCTATCGTTGGAACGTAAAATCAAATCAATATTAAATAAATCAAAAACGAGTACAGACATCTCTTCTCAAAACCAGGTCATGTACTAGGTTTATAACATGTGCCATGGTGTCATCAGTTCCCCCCGAGGCATCTTCCGGTCGTGCAAAGTTGATCGGCTTCCCATTGCGGAGTAAGCCTCTGGCTAGGAGCAAATTATTAATGTAATCAGACGCGGTATGTAAGTTTTGAGCCTCCATCTCCCTGATTTTTCTTCCGGAACCTGGACCTAAAATTACTGGTCCCTCGGGAGCTTTTAAATGTCAAAATGAGCTTATCAGCTTTGAGTGATGTCCAAACTGCGTTTTTCCTAATCAGGAAGAACACAAACATTCCAAGGTTGCTTACTACTCCGGTTAACTTGGGGGTGCAACACGGACCGAGGTTTATCCGGATGGCGCGGCGATTTGGCGCTCCAACGCGCTAAACGCGTCTTCCAGGACTGTTAGCCAGCCTATAAAATGGATGATATATTGGGACTTGAAGGATTGGACTCAACGACCACAAGTTTGCTAATCAATATTTTTAGAAAATGCTTTTTTGAATCACCAAAATCATGTCACAGGTAGACGCAAAATCACTTCAAATTTATGGCCAAAATGAATATCGTTGCGCCAATTACCGGGGAGCCCTTGACGCATTCACTAAGGCAAGTCACACACATGCAGTAAATAAATAGCAAAGCAGAAGAATGAATGGAAATGGCAGTTTTAATTTACTAACATGACCGCATTAGGCATTCCATATGGGAGAAGGCGATTCTATAGGTATCTTAGACAACAGAGCTGCCACCCACTGCAAACTGGGTTCTTTGAATTCAGCGCTTCAGGATGCCAGGCGAATGGTAAAAGAGAATAAGATGGATGCTAGAGTAATTTATAGACTTAAAAAGCGCATTTATTGATTGTCGATTCGATTTTGGCTAATCTTTGTCCTAGGGATATTTACGTACTGCGAAGATCCTGCAATTGATGGACAAACATGAAAGTGCTTTACAAACATACCACTATGCACTTCGTGTTTTGCCACAAGGTAGCGATGGCCGTCAGGTTCGCCAAACTTTTTTCCCCCTATAAACCCTTCATGCTTTCTATATCGCAAGGGACTCATTGTTCCATAGCAAATCAAAGATTTATCAGCAAAACTAGACAAGCGGCTTAATGGTCCAAAGTTGTCCGACCCATTTGATGTTTTGCCCTTGGAGTTAGTCTCCATGGTATTAGAACATTTAGATCTTAGATCTCTGTTGTATGTTTACTATTTCCCCCGTATTCTATTTTACGGATTGCTAATACTGTTCTCTCAAGGTCCACTGTTCGTGTCTCTAAACGTTGGAACAGGTTGCTAAATTCAGTCCCAAGATTATGGACACATCTCGACCTCACAAAAGCAAGAAAACGGAATGTCTCTCTCAAAGCAATTCAGGCATTCTTGCGCAGATCGCACTGGAGGCTTTCGCGCGCATCGCTTACCAACCTTCAGCCTGATGATTTTCCCAAACTCATGACCGGGTTAAAACGCATCGGATCTTTAGAGCATCTCGACCTCCAGGGAAGCTTTAGCTTGAGATTCAACGTTGCGCCAATTTACGGTCTAACTAAACTGAAGACACTGGTCTGTTCGGAGCAATCTGAGATGACTTTCGGACATTTCAGCAAGGTGTTATCCGATTGTCCATTGCTTCAGCGTGTTGAAGTACACGTCAAGGACGCACCACTTAATCAATACAAAAAATTTCCCAACAAGTTGCCAAATCTACGAGCGTTAACCATTGTTGGATTTGATAACAATATAAACGGGGAGTTTCTTTCTCCGTTAGGCCTGCCATTTCTAAAAGAGGTATTCTACCCTATATTCTACCCTCCTCGTTATATTCTAATATTTTTTTTTTTTTGGTATAGGCTACTTTATTTGATGTAACCCCGAATCTAGAGGAGCTTTACCTAATCTATAAAACAGCCAATATGATGCGGGATGCACCAAAAGTTTCCAACCTGCCTAAACTGAAGCGATTTGGGCTTCTAGGAATGAAACTTAACCATTTCCCTGAACTTCCCAAATCGCTCGAACGTTTTTCGCTCTCCAGGAGCATTAGTAACTCCCAACTGGGTCAACACATATCAAAAGAAGACCTCGCAGAGATGGCGCCAAACTTGAAGGCTCTAATCCTCGACCGTTTCCGTGATGATGAACTAGGTCCCTTTCTCATAGCCTTTACGCAAGCGAAATCGTCTCTTACCCACCTCGATCTCGAAGGGTGTCATCTTCATGTAGAAGATTTGCTAATTGCGATGATGCGACGCAACCTTGAGAATATCACGTCCCTCAACATCGCCGGTCTGGCAGAGATTGGTGACAGGGTTATCGCGAACATCCTTGACATGATCCCCAAGATTAAAGAGCTCGATATTTCGCGTACTCTGGTAAAGGAGCACAGCGTGAAAAGGTTCATTGAGTCTGATAAAGTGAGAATTGAGAAATTAGTGGTGCACAATATGGAGACGCCGTTCAGTAGGGATTTTCTTACCTTCGCCAGAAGCAAAGGGATCGAAGTTCCTCCTCCGATAAATCGTGATGGTGCTGGGAATCGTCCGCATACCGAACCTCGAAGGTAATCGGGGCCGTGAAATGTGAAGGGGTTTGATCCGTTTGTGAAAATACTTCAGATCCTGGTACTGAGTTAGTTCTAATGTTGAGATTGCGGATAAAATATTAAGTTTCCGTGTATGAACGTTGATGACTTACCTCTTTGAAATGACGACTGGGACGATGGTTACGATAGATGAATTAAATGCATGTCAAAAATGCCGTGTGAAAGTTTTCACTGATATTTGCGACGTAGCTCGGTTTATTTATTAGGGAATTCCATTTATACAGTGGGTAAAGTATTGGGGCCCATTATATTTCGAAAAAAAAACATAAGAATGGCGCCAGGGGGGGGCTCACAGATTATTCTATCCCACTTTCTGATATTGTACGGAACTTAATAAATCAGAAGCATAAATGAAATTGCAAAAACCACAACCATATCCCAAGGGCCACAGCAGTCTGACTCGCAGACTTATACATTCCCTACACGCAATGATCACCAATGAATCAAAGCTACCGAGCAAATTCAAACCCCACGCTCCTTACACCACCTCGCAACTTCTTTGTCCAATTTATCCTTCTGATCGCGTACCAGCGTCATCATATCCTTGGCCTGAGCCCGATAATAGTTGAAGGTTTCCAGCTTCTCGACTTTCTTCTGGTTGGAACCATTTGCCCCAACAATATGGGGCACGTCCTTACTGGTAAATGGCGCGACATATTTATCGTGAATGGAGATCATGAGGTCCAGTACGGCAAACAGTTGGTTTGGTAGCCACTGACATTGATGGTGTCAGTTTCAAGGCTAACTGGTAGCGTAACAGGAAAATGAAAACAAAGGTGGTGGGTTAAGATATGAATGGGAGGTAAGGCAAAATATTAAATGAATGGATTTTTCACGTACTGTGATAATTGGACTTCCACCAGTTGCTGTAGGATACTGTGTTCGTTTAATGATATACTCCCTGGCCAACAGCCAGTGTCTCCATCTGAAGCTTCGGACATGATCCAGGGCTTTCAAGTACAGAAGTACAGTTTCTTGATCCTGGACACTAAATTCTTGAACGCGGAGTTCCTCTGCTTTGGACGCCACATGTGCCAAAAATTCACGGTGTGGCAGTGGGCGATAAGCGCGGAATTCATGAAGAATTTTTGTCAATGGGGTAGCTGGCATGGGAATTTGAAGAAGATGGTCAAGCAAAGGGATCTGTAGGAGGCAACGTCAGCTGTTATCCTGCATGCGCTCACGCAGCTCAGTGAGATTAATAGGTACTTACAATGCTGTCATTAGCGCCACTCTCCCCACGGAAGTTTAGCGGCTTGTTGTCCAAGACGCCATCATAGATGACACCGTTCGGAAACATGGCCTGAGACGTGATACCAAAAATAAAAACTCGGAATGAGAGGTAATCGGCCGGTTTAGAGTTTTTCCACATGTCTGTTTTGGAAAGTTAGAATAGGCAATGGATTTGGCTTGCCCTCTTGGGTAAAAACATAAACATACCTTCCATGCTTGTTTCAATTCTCTTCATAGCCTTTAGTATTTCTCTGAATGCGTCATTGACCTCTTCCCGAGCTGAAGGTCCTTTGCTTTCCTCCAGCCTGTTGAGGATGCGGACGGCACCACTGACTAAAGGTCCAGTCTCCTTTACCATATCAACGTGCGTTAGAATGAAACCCGCTTCGGAGCTCTTGGGGTCGAGTCCCCGCTCAAAAGCACGGATCAGTTTCAGGTTTGAATACTCTAAGCTTCGACAGGGCTCATCAACAGTATAATTATACAAGGCATAAGCAGCTGCATAAGACATGAAAGGCGGGATATCAAGTCTCATCGAGGAACTTCGTTAGTGAAAAAAGTAAAACGAGAAAGGAGTATCAAAAATACAACATACATCTCTGCGCATCGATAGAGAGGTCGAGCAATACATTTCGGTAACGTCTCCCGACCTAAACCATAATAACCACCGGCAGGGTCCTTTACCCATCTCTCCCAGCATGGCTCAAGCAGGTAAGCTGAGCAGATGAACGAATAGTCCCTAAATACAGCCGTGATCATAAAAAGATCTAGTTTGCCATCTTCGGTGACGAGTTTGTCCACTTCATCAGTTAGGTCCGGAAGCTCAGCAAGAACAGCAGGGCCAAGCTCATAAGTGGCTAGCAAGCCAGGTGATCCATCATCCTTAACAACGGGAAGACGGGAAAGAAGGGAGTTGACGGCTTGGAAAACATCCGGCAAACATGTAGGAGGGAGCCGTAAGGGCAAGAAACCCGTTGAAGTAGTGACGGTAAAGGGGTCTCTGTCCTTCGATAGGGTCTCGGGGTTATCAAAGATATGGGGGAACCGTTCTACCGTAGAATATGTCTTATCAACCTTGATCATGATTGTTGAGATGATAAATGGCAATAGATCTTTGATCTGATCTTCACCGGTATATGTGTGGGCGGGAGGCGAAAAAGGGGAATATATAGCACCGGTTATTTTGGATGGAAGTACCAGGCACATACAAGACAAGGGCCTAACTCGAAATGGAAATTTAATCGACAGACAAAAGAGCGCAGAAAGGAAGGGGATATCGCGCAAGTAAATGCCTCCTTTAATCACAAAAAGGGCAGAGGAGACAATGGGAAAAGATGGCGGATTATATACTTCATGAGGCCGGAATTGATACCGGCCTCCCAAACATTATTACGAAATAGTTAAGGAGAACGGATATCTGGACAACGGGATTGGCATCAGGTGATGTAACCTCGTTCGGGAGGTTTTATGCACCTAATATGAGAGAGGCAAAACTACATCATTCAAAGTCCCCGAGGCGTATATGGTGAGGAAACATGCCATCCCCAACGTAGAAGAAGGAGTGTATTTATTTACTTGTCGAGGCCAAACTTGAGGTTGGAAGAAGGTAAATGCGCTATTCCTGTTATGGCTTAGGCCGATCTCAACCTAAATTGAGTTCTCGATCCCTCGTGTTCTGCAACAGTCCACCAGGAACAAACAACCACATCGAGAGCTGAACATTGGCTATAATTAAGTGGACCGGCAACAAACTCATATATGGGTTTGCCTCTTGCTACTACCCTGATTGCTGCTTATCCTCTTTTGGTGTAGTTTTGAATGTACAAGCTCCTTGTCTGAATCATCATCTGTGTTTCTGGAAAGACTTTCCTTATCATATTCTCAGATGCAGGCGTCGTGGGAAATGCTGATCAATTAATGTGAACTATGTATCAGGCAGTCAAGATCCGGCATTGCGATTATTGACTTGAAAACTCATTGCTAGAAAACCGAAGTTAAAAGCTCTTTGGAGTACGTGGGAGAAGATGGCAATCACCTTACAGTTTCCCTCCAAGATATCATATTTGAAGTCTGGTGATGTGGTAGGAAACGAGTTGACAAGATCTGATCTGATCTGCCTTCGATCAAGGAATTTGCCACAGCTTGCATAACAAACATTCCACAACAAACATTTGAGGCGTTGCAATATCAAACACCAGCATACCACGAGATCCAAACTGAACGGAAGTATAAGCTAGGCTTCCCCAGCTCCCATCCAGGGACTTTGGGTCCTCTCCGGGGCCAAACAGAAATGCGCCCACTCTTCTGTATGCCAACTGTGTGGGGCAGCCCTCCAAACGCAGCCTGGGGCAGTCGGGTGGAAATCCATTGGTTCACATTCCCTGGATTTCGCGGCTGGGAAGCCACCAAGCGGATATCCGCGGAGGCCGGAATTTTGCCGCCCACCCCACCCCCACGCCCAGAAATAAGCACGGGAACGAATTAACAAGGTCGAATATCGTCTAAGGGCGTAACGACCAGCAATAGCTAAGTTAACACAACTAGTTACTCACGGCGAACTTATTATTTGAAAATTGGATCGCATGAATACACAGGCGGTTCATGCCCTCACTCAACCCAATGCAAAGCAGCCACATGAACCCCCGATAGAGTTGGAGCTAGCGGGTTTACAAATCCCTTCAATGAGGAAAAGGGTCATGGTCATAAACAATAAAATAGCTCCGGGGAAATGATATGCGCTCAACTTAAAAGGATACATCGCGACAACCTCCCATCCGTCGACTACCATGCTGCAACATTCGGTGATAGGCTTTTATAGAATTTAATGCCACATAAGGTTTCAAACGGTCGAAATAAAAATGCCAAAAACCGAACATAGCAACAAAAGGATCCAAACCCGCAAGCGGACCCTCCCCGACGCCGATGGTTTTGGATTTGATGACTTTGGGTCGATTGACGCTGGGTCTACTCCCCCACTTTCAACGCCGGTGTCGGAACATATAGTAGCACTTGATGGTCCTCCCGCCTTCTCGCACCTATGGTTAAATGCCTCGTCGAGTCCTTTGTCACTTGCGGATGTATTGTGGTATATGGCGACCGACCTGACCTTCAGAAATACATCGGTTGAACTGGGAGGACCAGTCCACATTCCGCCGTCTGCCCAAACGTTCAAATACACATGCCCAGAAGCATTTGGGATCCGCAAGGAGTTTGTATGCACCTGCGTCATGTTTTGGTAAAATCGTAATTCCTTGCTGGTCCAATCGAACCGATGTCTTTGGAAGGAGTTCAGAAGATCGTCACCCCGAAATGGGATCACTTTTGTGGCGTTTTTGATGGGTTGTCCCCTCTCGTCGAGTGACGGGTGCGATGTATAATGGACTGGAATCGCATCTTGCTTGAACTCCCTCGCGAGAATTTCAATATCGATTTCATTCTCATCGTCCTGTTTCCCCAAAGTTTCCGCCCTGAAAGTTTTAGCCTCCGTCCACTCTAATATCCCACTATATATCGTCTCCCTTGGGGAAAGTAAAAGTGAAATAAAAACTGAGAATGGGAGAAGTTTACACGATACCAAAAGAATGCACCACAACTTCCGCCGTGTGCATTTTCCATCTTAAGCTCAACTCGAAAACTTCCATGGATAATGTCGCCACTTGCGGTTGCGATCGAAGCCACGCTCACATTTCTGGCTTTCAGGATATCTTTCTTCGAATACCCCTGTTGTCTCAGAACTAGGTTCCCATCGCGCACGAAGACGTTGTCTGCCATGTTATCGATGGCCAAAGGGGTTGCTGCGCTCCCTGGAGGAATACCCCATTGCTGAACTTGCCAGTCGCTGGCAAAATCTGGGATTTTATTAAGTGTTTTCGATGGCGAGAGTGTGCTGAAATTGTTGTGTATGACATGTGTGAAGTAATCTTTTGAGTCGCTCATGGAAAATCCGCATTCGCAGGACGCATCGACAAATCTGACCACCGACAGTGCAATGAACACGGCCGGAACGATCGCTTCCTTCAACTTCAAGAAGCACCGTCTCATGTCTGCCGGGGTTATCGTTCCACAGGGCGAATTTTTGGAAACCTGCTGTATCCTCAATCCGGCCGCAAACGCTGTCTCCTCCTGGGCTCTACGCCAAAGCTCCCAAAGTATGAAATATATATATATATATATCCCTTAAGTCTGATGCAAGACCGCACACTCGTGATAACTTACTATGCTACGTATCTGTGCCTACGAGAGAATGAATACAAACAGTGTTCACCAACAGCACAGCCCGAGGCACTTTCGAAACAACCGTTATCATCTGAGAACAAAGCAACAAGGTTTCTTTAAATAGTCAAAAGTGGGCGAAACCATACAGAGGATGAATGCTGTTTAGAGGAAAGACTTTCTTCACATTGACTTGTGTGTTTATCCAGACACTTCACTTGACAAGATTATTAAGATATCAGCCAACAAAAGTGAGGAGGAAAGCACTCCTCCCGATCTGATATCTGCGCCTTCCCCCATCCCTCCCCTCCGCCTTCAAAGAACAGGGCAATTGCCATATTACATTATTGATGGGACTCCGCGGATCGCTCTTTGTCCCGGATGACATATAAGTCTACCTCGGCCAGTTTGGGTTTCCAACAGTTGAACTAACATCACACTGCAAAACGAATGTGTTCTTATTTCTTTTCGAGAGAGCTAACATATAAGCACCAACATTTATGGCCAGCATTGAGCGGCTCTATCTGCTCGGGCCCCCCTTGTTCCAGTAGTTCAAGCTTGACTGCGCTCGCAACCGGGTTTATCCGTTAGTCTCCCAATGTTTGGGAACCATGTTCCTGTCATGTGTATATGCCTATCTGCCTATCACGGATATGTATAGAAAGATATGTATAGCCTATATATTCAATGGGCGTGAACAGTGCAAGGTCCCAGCAAATGGGGTATGAGCTAGGGGGCGCCTCCTTACTTTTTCGAGCAATCATTCATTGCTCTTTAATATGTTACCCAAAGACCCCTTTCCGGTGCTTCCACTAGCCAGTGGGCTGGGATCCCAGCTGGTGGAGCAGATAATATCAAATCAGCAACGAGGTTTCCTCCTAGACTGCAGAAGAATATGCACCAATAGCGTCAGAATCGGGTTTTTGAACTGAAGAAGGAGTGGGCAATGCTTCCTCCACAGAGAGAGAAACCCTTTGTGGCTCTTCTTGTCCTTTCCCTTCGCTGCTACGATCCTTCTTGATCGTAAATATATTTCCCCCAGTACAGATGGCTGCCGGCACAGCGCCAGCGCAACACATTACCCCGAGGCTGAGTGTCATCACTTCCCAACCCGCACTTTCAACAACATACCCTCCCCAAAGCGGGCCAACAATTAGGCCTAGAGCATACATCAAATTTCCTAATCCGAATGCTTGCGCATATGCCCCTTTTTCTCCGTAGTATTTGGGATTTTGCCGCATTTTCTCTTCGACAGACAGCATGATTTCGACATGTATAGGAACTTCGAAGAACATACAGAACGCGCCACAGAACGCTAAAAGGACACAGAAAACCACCTTGTCGTGCAGCGTATTTCGTGTCACTAAGCGGAGAAGGACCACTGGAATCATGGTGAGGACATACCCCACCACAACATACCAGCGCGGACCGTGCTTATCAGCCAGCCGGCCTATTGCGGGAGATATAAAAGTGGGGATTAGGAGCGCAAGAAACACGAGACCGGCGCCGAAAGAGTCCCAGTTGAACATGGCTTCGACGAACAAGGGAATAACAGCCTCGAAAGCGCCAAATAAGATCGCTATGACAATGCAACCCCAGAGTGCCAGAAGAAGGCGAATCGAACCTAGCATGACGATGAATGGTGGGAGGTAATGGACCGGATGATAAATCCTACCTTTCTGAGGCTGCATGTTAATTGAAAAATGGTCACCCCTTGGCGTTGAAGCTGCCTCTTCCGATCCCTCAGATTTTTCGACTACTGGATCTTCCGGGGGTGCTGGCAGACCAATCGATGGATCCCATTTTCGTGCAACGCGAGCTTCAATCATGGCTAGTCGAAAAACAATATCTGCCCCAAGGAAAATAAAAGCGGTAATATACACCATATAATATCCCACTTTGGCATACACAACGCCGCCGATAAGCGGCGCGGCAACCGTCGCAATGCTCCTTGCTAAAACGATCGTTCCTATATGCGCACCGATTTCTTTGGATCCCACTCTATCTGCCAACATCGCCAGAGCAATGACCCACACAATTGAGCCGGACAAGCCCTGCAAGATCCGGGCGACGACTAGGAGAGTCAGAGTTCTTGCGAGGGCGAGCATGAGAGTTGCTCCTGCCAGAAGCAGAAGACCGAACATGAAGGGAACTTGACGGGTCTTCGACTTATCTGCCCACCAGCCACAGATGGCTACATAAACTGTCAGCCATGTGCCGGAGCTGAGAGAGCAAAGGGATTGGCGAGAGGGGGGAGAGAGAGTGAACTAACGCGAACCGATAAGTAGAGCGGCTGCATACACGGTAAGAAGGATTGACGTCCATTTCTGGGCTATATATGTGTCAGTCATGGTACCCCGATCTTGAAAGGGGGTGAACCGATGCTCACCATCACCAGGTTCCACTCCGATTCGATCACTAAGTGCGAAAGGCATAACCGGTACGATCTAGTTGTATGCACGCGTTCGCAGCCCTGTTAGCAAAAATTGTATTCTGAATCCAGCATGGTTTCAATTAATTCTCCAATAAAGTTGAACCGAATATTTCAAGAGATCCGCAAGCGTACCAATCCATATAAGAATATATCCTGCCAACAAGAAAGTAGTTAGTTATCCAGTCAACCCAACCAGTCCCAGCTACGATACGTGAGAATATTTGCAACATACCGAAAATACCGAAAATGCACACACCCACAGAATAAACGGCTTGGACGAGCGGAACTGTAACAATCTGGGCGGCTTATTATTATTCCCCCACCATTGCCATAACCGTCGACGTCGATTGGCATGCGCTGTGTCTGCCTGTTGCGGGTTGTTCATCTGCTCAGATGTGCCTTCTTGACGAAAGATCTGTGGATCCGTGGTTGACTATACATGTGCGTGTATGTTATAAAAAGTATCTACATATACGATCAACGACGAGATGGCAAGTTTATATGACAGACCATGAGACCAAAGCAAGGAATGAGAAGGTGGCAAAGGGTTCGAGATCTCTTTAGTCAATCCTTCGAGATCACAAGGAAACAGATACATGTCTGGGAGGGGGAAGCACAACAGAGGGAAGAAGGAAATGCCCAACAACCAATGTAATGGGCATTCTATGAAATATAAAAGAAAAATACCCAATTTCTTCTAGTGAATAAGCTATGGTCATTTCAATAATGACCAGACAGCGAAAATACCCAATAATAGCTAAAAAGCAACATTAAAACTTAACAAATATGTTCCAGGCTTTGCAGATCAAAGAGTCAGAGCACACGCCTGGCCACCATTATGTATGCACAGATCTCAAGGGACAATCTTATTATAAAGCGGCAAACACTCAATACATACAACTCCGCTGCCAGTAGTATTATTCCATCCATGCATTTACATGAAACGTCCGCAGTCCTCGTGGATTGAAAAACAAAATATGTGACCCGCGAAAGAACAAAGTGAGGCATGGAAAATAACGGAAAGTTTTGAACCCAAGGCGCGGATGAGTGGGTGTTATAGGAGATGTTCCAATGCAGTTATCGTCTAGGAGAAGAAGAAAAGCCAAAACAAGAGTTGCCAACGCAGCCCTTTCAGTCCCAAATCTCTCTCTTGCTCAGTTCTCTTATGCCCCGGATCACGTCACGGAATCCTGCCTCGTGACGATTGAGTACCCAGGCTGTTGGTTATGTGTGAGGGAGATGAAACTCGGGAGGGACAAGCAAGGGCTAGAAGGAAAAAGCGTACACATGGACAGTTTGCTAGTTACCTAACTTATACGGGGAGCAACAGTTGCTGGCCTGCATGGTCGGGGTCTTCGGTGTTAGGGCTAACTAGTAGTAGGTTTTGTTTTGGTTACTCTCCTGTGGATAATAATGTGATTGACAAGCGGAGATGGGCCCGGGGAGGGGCGGGGGTTCCGTGGAGGTTCCCAGGTTCCACAGGGTCCATTGTCCCCCCCCCCCCCCCCCGTTCGTCGATATGTGGGGGGTGCCAGCTAAAGGGGAATATAATAAGCTTAAAAGGCCATGATGATACATTGATACAGATATTGTCCGTTGCTTGTGCTTCCCAAGGCTTTTGTTTCTTTAAAAAAAAAAAAAATAAATAAATAAAAAAAAAAAAAAAAAACTCTTTGGTCTCAGAACCCTCTAGGAAGCAAGAAGGAAGCTGAACCGTGGTATTCGAACTGTAATCGTCGCTCGAGATATGACGAGCGTTCCAGTTGATTTTAACCGATGATATCATATTACCATGCTGAAGAAATCGCATCTACGGATGGAGAACAAAGAAAGAAAGAAAAAAAAAAAAAAAGAAAAAAAGAAAAGAAAAGCAAGAAAGAAAAGAAAAGAAAAGGAGAGAAAGATTATCAATATTTTTGTTTAAAAAACTTTGCTCATAATTAGAGTTTTTCAGATTCAAGCAAGCAGCCTATCAAATTTGTAGATGAGGTTAACTTTCACGCCTTCTGAAATTCAATGGAAAATAAAAGGGATGAAAGATTGAACCCATCCAAAAACCAACCAAATTGCATCACCATTCAATAAAAAGTAGCTGGCCCAGCAGAATAAAAGGTCATAAGCTAACCTTCAAAATAAATGAGCCGAGATGCATGTGTCCAGTGGAGCAATAGAAGATGGTTTCGGGTTCAAGGTGAAGAAGAATATTTCAATTCAAACATACCATAGCCTCGAATCTTAACCGTAAGAAAGAAGAGTTGTAAACTATGCTATGTAGCGTACTGTTTACGTAGGCCAGGAGGAAAACCTAGAGTTCTAGATACATTGAGTCACATATGCAGTTTGAGAACTTATGAGAAGCGGGAGATGGGAGGGAAACAAAAAAAAAAAAAAAAAA